CTATATATATATATATATATATATATATATATATATATATATACACAGAAGTCTAGCCTGGGGCTCAACAAGTCAAATATACAAAATTCAACAAAATAGCTACACCAAGTAGCCTAACAACAACAAATTCAGCACCAGCTGCCAGCTATAGTCCTGCTACTACACTCCATCCTATCCCTGCTCTTCTTCCATACATAGCATGATCATTGCAATCCAACCCACATGGAAACAGGCAAGGGTAAGCTATTGAAAAGAATCAACATATAAATGGATTATAAACAACTTCAACTTAACAACACATCATTAATCTCAACAAATTTTACATACAACACATAACAACATACATCTACATCTCAGCTTCACCACACACTACACACATACAACTTATGTCATTCAACAAAATCAACATCTAACAGCTTATGCCTCGTCACGCATTTCAACTCGAAGATCTCCTACAACAAAGGTGAGTAGTTTAAGTGGCTAGGTCCTACCGAACCGACAACAAAGAACCTTTTTGGTTTGCTAGGTAAATAGCGATTTGGATATCAATCCACAATTTCACGATTTCTCAGACTTTGCCACTTAAAAAAGGAAGTATGGTACTATGTCAGGATAGAACAGCTGGGTTTTAGGCCTACCACGACATTAGCTAGCTTAACTAAGCCACCTATGGAATTAGCCTACCGACTATCCTCCAAATATCACAACTTTCCGATACTTAGTTAGGAATTAAGTTCCCGACTTTGTACTTTACTCGATTGGCTGCTTGTAATCTGTATAGCTCGACCTGGCCCCTATACCGTGATCGCTTTGTACACGTGTGCCTCGACCTTGCCCACACACGGGACCAACTAAGTACTTAGAGGAGAACAACACAATGACCACTCCAAGGGACAACTTTCCAAGGAGGGTTTTCAACAAATTGGGCTCTAAGAGTACCACAGCTTCCTCAATCCATACAATGGGATGAACATCTTCGAAAAATATCTCCTCTAGTCTTAGTGATCAACAACTCAGCATTACAGCTTACACAGCTCATACTCAACAACACAGCTCAACTATTTAAAACAACATATTCAACATTCGGCACAACACAACATAACGGCATTAACAGCTTAGACGGCATACAACACAGCTCGGCTTAACATCAATAATCAGCATGATCATCATACAACATAGCTCAAATTTATATCATATAGCATAAACATCATACAACATAAACATCATACAACATAATCAAAATTATAAAGTCAAGCACCTTCGCGCCTGGCGCAATAGAATTTGCGCCTGGCCTGAACCAGCCAGAGAGCTCCAAAGCTCTTACGCGCCCGGTGCAATAGAAGGCAGAGACTCCCAGGAATCTCCCAAGCCCGGCGTACCAAATTCACGTTCGGCGCAAGTAAGGCAGAGACCTCACCAAGGTCTCACGCTCGACGCGCTCATTCTGCGCCCGACGCCACCCTAAGCAGAGACCCCTAGGGAGTCTCTACGCCCAGCACCAAGAACTACGCCCGACGCAATTTCAAACAACAACCCTCAAACTTTGAAAATTTCACCAAAAACCTGTTGGGCCTTTCTAACGGGCCTCGCATTTGGAAGTGTATCATCTAGGCAGAGAACAAACATTACACTTTGAAAGGAGTTCGCCCAATGTGACTCTTTCACACCCATTGAATTAGGAACTAAAAGTCTCCTAAAGTTCTTATACTTAGCGTAAATGTCATAGAAAGCAACCCATGTTCTTTGTTGCGTCCATACCTAGTAGTCACTCATGGCGCCCAACGTTGCATCAATAGAAACACATCTGCATAAATTGTGAATTGTACATAATGTCATCAATGTACATTTTAAAGAATTACTAGTGGTCAAAGCATACAATAGATACAATGCTATCAAACCACTAAGCCAAAACTCCTTATAAAAAACCCCTTATTTTTTTGTTTTTAAAATAATTTGCAAACCTCGATAGATTTTAGATGAGAAATTTATTGTTGAGTAATGTGAAATTGTTTTTCCTTTTTTTGGTAAAGAATGTGAAAATGTTTTAGAAAACAATTTAAAAACAAATAAAAGATATTAGAATACAAATAAAGTCTCACATCATTGAAAAAAAGGAATAGAAACATGAATTTATAAAACACAATGATACTCCATTAGTATAAGACTTTTTGGGTGATGACCAAAAGAAATTCATTAGAGTTTAGATTCAAATTGACCAATAAGTCAATTTAGATACAAACTTAAAAGTATTTTTAAGAACTTTTTTATTGAAAATAATTATTTATTTTCAGTAGAAAAACTCCTAAAAGTACTTTTAACTTGTATCTCAAACAAGATTAATATCATACTAATTTGAATATATGTATGAATACTCGTTGAACAATATACTATTCCTCTTGAAAAATTATATCACCTCAAACAAATACAAAACACAATTCACATCTAAACAAACAAACTCTAAATGTGTTAAACCCTAAACATTTTAATTGCGTCTTTATCATATTATAAATTATAATACTAGAGAAACATACAGAACACATTTGTTTCACAAATTAAAAGCACCATTAATGAGAATTTGGGTTTGAAAATGTAAAATTTTCATGTTTGTTTCAAGTTTTAAAAATATACTCAGTTATTATTTATTTTTGAAAAATAACTGTCATGTTTTAAGGTATTTTGATTCCCACGGTAGAGTGGAAAAGTTATATTTCTATGAAAATATGGGAATTCAAACTTTATTTTTTAAATTATCTTAAATTTAACATTTTTTTTAAAATATTCTAGAAAATAATATTCAAGTCATATTATTCTTATGAATATGATTCCCAAAATACCGTATAATTCCGTGAAACAAATGTCCCATATTATTAACTTCTTTATGAATAATACAAGCCGTCTGAAATTTATCTTTTTATTACCATTGATTCATTACTAAGTTGAATTTATTACAATAGTTTCGGAATTTAGAACTAATATAATGAAAAGAAAAAAAAAAAGTAAAATCAATGTTAAAGATGGTAAAATTAAACCAGCTGCCACTTGATATTCTAGCTTTCACAAGCCGTTTCACCTTCATACCAGATATTCCAAGTTTTGTTACTTGCGCTCGACGTCCCAGTTTCTGAGCCACTCTGGCTATTTTCCTTTTCACACTATGTCATCAACAACAGAAGGTCCATGTTGTGCAATACGAGGTTTCCACACACAAATGTCTATGTAATGATAAAATATTATCCGATTTAAACCCAAACCTTTACAATATTATTTTTCAACATCACTAAAAGATATTTTAACCAATAAAAATAACTATATATATATATATATATAAATCTATATTCATCCTTTTGTTTGAATGATGTAAAATTTTATTTGCATCCCAAGAGTCCAAGATCTGATATTAAAATATTTTTCAAATAAAAAAATCTTACATTTTTCATTTTTTTTTTTTCTGATACAGAGTGATTACTTCAATTGTTCTGTGAAAAGTACGTAGCAAAGTAAACATAAATGAGCTGATAACAAATGGGAAACTAAAGCAACTGACATAACAAAACCTCACACTGCAGCACATCCATAGGTGCTGACATGAAGTATTAAATTGGATGACCTAAAATTTAGGTAAAGTCACCAGTTGGAGAGTACAAGCCTCCATTTTTAAATGATTTAATTATCTTTTTGATTCTTATAATTTCATGAGCTTTACTTTTTATTCTCTGTAATTAAAAATAATTCATTTTAGTTTGTATACATATCGTTTTCATTTCCTTTAGTCTATAATTTTATAAATTTTATTTTCAGTCTTTATAGCAATAAACTTCAAAGGCTAAAAGAAAACAAAAATAGTATGTATAAAAATTAAAATGAAACACTTTTAATTATAAGAAGTTTATAAAATTATAATGACCAAAAAGATAATTCAAGTTCTTAAAATTTTGTAAAAAATTTATGCAATGTTTAGTTAGATGTATCCAATGTAAACCGTCAGTTCATATACCCCTAAATCCTTTGAAAGAAGGAAATGGAGAGCTACTTCCATCCAGCATGCATTTGGAGTTCCAACCAGATGGTGAGACTAAGGCATTTGGTGGTTGCACCAACAGTTCTAAGAATGATTGCTGAAAAATTTGACATTTCAAAGGAAAGAAATACTCTTTATTTGGACCAGTCAAAGAGTCTGTTTGAATAGAGCTTAGAAATATTTGAGTTTCTTTACTGAAAAATACTCTTTATTTTCAGGAAAGAAACTTTTAAAACATTTCTACCTTGTATCCAAAGAGCCTCTAACTCAACAGCTTCAATGTCATTGTGTATATCAAAATATAAGCTGTCTTTTTCCACATTTCTGACCCGTTCATAATCTACTATATCTTCATAGCTGCAAGGAGAACATAAATTTACAAATTGAATGAATATTAGAACTTGAATTCTCATTATTACTTGTTCATTTCTCAACTATAAATTCTTGAATCTCTATTCCCGTATGCCGAGCACCTCCTTGTACTCTCAGCAGAATTTCATCTCCAACTTTGAGTGAGGTCACAGGAATGGCAGTTTTTAACAGTGTATTTCCTGAATAGGGAAATAAACAACACTTTAGGAAACTCAACAAACTACCAGAAAATAGAAAGAAAAAAATGACGGAATTACCTTGTGGGGGACAAACCAAGGCAACTGTTTCTGCATTCTGTAAAAGGATACTGATAGCTTGATTATCTGATTCTATCTGAAATGACACAATTATTATTACCAAATCAGAATTTTGGATAGGTATCAGCAAACAGCAATAGAAGTAACTGAAATAGTCATAAACTATGATTTGTTCAAATGACAATGAAAATTTTGTTCTTTGCTGCCACACAATGCTCAACCATAATTTTACAATATTGCTCAAAACATTTGAACGATATCTCATAGTCTAATACTCATTCAACAAAATAAGAACACGGAAAACGAGTCTATTCAACCCCAGTTACTGTATATTACTGCTATGCTATCATGGTATAATTATAGTCATTTCAACCCAAGATAACAATTTTAACTTTTATGTTCACTCTCATTCTAATGTTAGTCCGAATTGAAGTTTGGTAACAATGAAGACAGTTGTTTTGGAGAAAACTAGCTATAGCTCCATGATAAAAGTCTCCGAACAATTTATATATGTTTCAGCTTCAAATGTATATACAATGGTGGTTGTATCTTCAGCTTCTTAATTTCCACACGATAGATCTATCAGATATGCATGCACGATGGTTATATATATTAAAATTAAACATTTTTCACAAGGTGGTCAGCATTAAACACAGCTTTCACATTTGAAGTTCAATCTTAATGTACAATTATTAAGGATTTGTTTAGTTTAAAGGAGGAGAAGGAGAATAAGGATTTTAATGGAGGGGAACGAATGAGAAGAAATAGAAATTTTGTTTAGTTAAGACGAAAAAAAGGAGGAGAGAGAGTTTTTTTTTGTTTGGTTCACGAGAGAACTTAAAAAATAATTTACTTTTATATCTTTATAATTTTAAATTTTAAAAAAATAATTAACAATATTTTAGAAATTGTATTAAAAATGTTTTAAAATTTCTCTTCTCTCCAAATTCCTCCAATATTGGAAGGGAGGAAAAAATTACATGAGGAGAGATTTTGCTCCGCTCCATTTCCCTCCTAAAAATTAAACCAAACAATTTTTTTTTTTATAAAAATGTCTCCCTTCCCCTTCATTTTCTTCCAACCAAACACTATATTAGACTTTTTGGTATTTTTATTGATGGCATAGAGTGAGGAACTCCTGGAAACTCTTCAGTATACATTAATGCTTTGTAATGGTAGGAACTGCTTGTGTAAAACAATTATATTTGAAATGGCAGTTCATTTTCAAATCTATATATGCAAAAGAGATCTTATGGTAAAAAAACAGAAGAGTAATACATAAGATTATTGGTGCAATTTAAAAAAAATAACAAACAATTGAAAGCTTTGGAAATGAATATTATACCACAGAATACTACATCATGCATCATAGCACCTTGAAATGCTAATATAGAACTACTTGAAATAAGACAATCATATAAGTTCAGGTTATTTTGCAAGTAGGTCCAGCTCAAACTTTGGTTAAAGTTTGTTTTAAACCAGTTTTATGTATCTATTTTTAAATTGAAAATACCTAGCATGCTTATTGACAATTGATAAATGAGTGGTTTCTACAATTATATCTTATCCATTAACCACCCTTTAGATCTAGTTGGAAAGGACAAGGGGGAAATGAAGAGGGAGAGGGCATAAGGAAAAGTTGGACTAGGAAAAAAACCAAACTATGAAATGTTATTTATTTTTTTTTAAGAATTAGTTTTTTCTCAAAATTGGTTTCCTTAAGAATCGTTTTTAAAATATGACCCATTGAACTTAGATATCAAATTTCTAGGAGTTTCCGAACACCCTTTAAGAGTAGTTAATAATCCCACAGTGTATTATCAACCGCTACAGCTTTAAGAATATATTTATTAGACTAGCGTGATATATTCCAGAAAGAATGTACCACAGCACCCTCATTAAATAAATCAAGTTAAAAAACAAAAAGAAATACTCCTTTCAATCAATTTTTCCTATAATGCATACACAAACCTCTGCCTCCACAAGGATTAGTGGTCTACTTTCTATCTTTACACGCCCAACAATTGCAATTCGTTGATGACCCTGTTGATCAACTACAATCACTTCTTTCCCTGATTTTAATTCTGACAGGTAGCATGTTCTGCCTCCTGGAACAGCAACATAAGCATGCACTGGTCCCTGTTATGATAAGTAATTGGTTAAAAAGAATTCATACAATTTCTGTTGGCATGATAATTAACTTTTAAAGTGGAAATTCCAAAAACAACAAGAATGCAAAAAACTACCAAAAACAAAAGTATTAAAAACATCAAACTTTCATCTTCAAGAAATTAATTAAACTAACAAAATGAGACATGCAAGTTCAGAATAATTTCAGCTATCAGATGACAATTTGACAATATTACCGATCCCACAACATGTGCTGACACTACTTCTTGATTGTGTAAATTATATTCAACATTCATGAAAACAAAATGAAAAAGTAAATGATCATGGGTAATACACTACTATATTAAAAGCTTGTCCAAAGTCTGCTTTGAAGGTAAACGAATCCTAATTTAGTGCAAATCAAAATTTCCTTATAAATAAAAAATCTTTACATCCAATAGCAATAAATATATCTTGTAATGATTATATATGCTATCAAATCCTAATTTAGTACAAAACCCACATCGGATTATGAGTGTTATACACCATCACAGATTCCTTTTCCCAAGCAGTTTTGATTTCTGGTCTCACTGTCACCCCATTGTTGTGAATTGTAAAGATAAGAGGGGTAATTTTATCCGAGATCAAAGGCAAGGAAAATATTAATTTCAAGCTCAAGGCTTGAATAAACAACTTACTGCATTCACCCGAAAAGGCCGGCTTGCAATGTAATTTGACTCCAAACATTCTGAGTGAACAAGAAATAATCCTCTGGCAAAAGATCCAACCTGTTGAAAATATTCGGGCAGTAAGAACTGCAGCTTCACTAGATTAGCCAAGAAATAGTTTAACCATTGCATAGGAAATGGATACATACAAGAAGTCCTTCACCAGGTCTCATGAGACTGCAGAGATCTACGCAAACACGATCCCCCATTCCAGCCACTTGAATATGTGTCACGGTGGCTTTGGTCAAGCTCAGTAGATTACTTTCTTCCATTCTTCTGTCAAAATATTCCTGAAAGTTTCCAACTGAAAATCTGAAATAAGAGGTGAAGCCTCATTATTGAAGAAGTCTCACCTAGGTATAGAATACCTTTAGCTCAAGAACAGGTTCAACATCTTCTACTTTCATAATTATGCCATCTAAACCATGTTCAAGTGCCTATAAAATCCAAGGGTTGCAACTGTAAGGAGAGAGTTCAAACTGAAAGTAAAAGAGTGTTATTATATACAGTCACACGAGCTTCAACTCTGGAAAGTTTACTAGATTAGTCTCCTAGTAAGTATATACCTCGAGAAACACCTGAGCTTCAGATGTATTATTAGATATGGCAAACACGGTCTTATGGCTGCTTTGAAATGCAGCAATGATATTTTCTGCAGGTATTACCTGAGAAATTGCAAACAAGGAAAATTGTTGAAGATGATAAATCACAATTATTGAAAACAAACTATTACACTTTAAAAGACACTAGATTTTGTTGCAACAAATTGAAGTCAGAAAAGATCAAGCCAGAAAAAGAATGGTTTTCGAGGTGATGCAATCAAATTCATTAAGAGTTAAATTGGAGGTCTTAGAATCACAAACATAACTATATTTTAGAGTAAATTTATATATACGATTGTAAATCACAGATAGAATAACATTCATATAAAGGGTAGTAGTTGTCGTCATCGCCATCATTATCATCATAATAATAATAATAACAAAACCCATAAATTAATCAAATAATTTGATAGCTCAGTAGATCGGATCAATTTCATAGCTAACCGAAGTACTGAGCTAGCTGAAGTTATAATGTTATATACAACACATTTCCAACAAGGTATTGATTACAACTGATATGTCCTACTCCTAGCCCATTTCTCACTTATACAACGAAACCATGAGCCAGAACTAGAGCATAAACAAGCAAAATCTCCCAGCTTCCGATAAAAGCTCAAGTAGGACAACTCATTTCAAACTTTAACTAGAGAAACAAGTTGATCTTATCCTCTTGCAAAGCAAATTGGTGTATAAACAATAGAAAAAATAATATGGATGAAAGTATGTAAACTATTCCATCATAATTCTTATAGCAGACTACAACGAGCATACCTGCCAATCTAATAAATTAACTACAATGTTCTCTGCCTGCTCATCCTCCGGTCTAAGTCCCTCTAGCTCCTCTGGAGTCGAAACGTCAAAAATTGTGGCTACCCTTGTATTCTGTCCATCCAAAATCACCCGCTCACTAACAAAAAGAGGGCATATTACCGCAATAGCTGTGCCCCATCAAGACCAAAATTCCAAATTCATAAAATTAGATATGCTAGTAGTACACTATCCAATCCATCACTAACACAAACTCCATTTTACTCATCACCAAAATACAATTGTGGGTCTATTTGTGTAAACTTCTCCAAAAACATTTCTAGGAAAGAAAAAATGAAATAAGTTTCTTCTTAAGCTACAATTAGTCTGTGCATAAGCTAATTTGCGGAAGCTCTCTCCTTTAACTTCTACAAAATCTTATTTTTAACCTATGCATAAACTAAATTAACTCATGGAAAAGTTTATTTGGATTTTCCATTCTATCTTTTTTCTCCTAGAAGTTTATCCAATCAGACCCATATGTAAAAAAACAATTATGGTCATCTTATCCTTAATCCTTATAGTTATTGCCAACACTTGAATACAACAAAAAGAAAGGGATTTAATTTTGATCAAAATCACTACAAAACATTTTCCCACTAGATTTCAATTGAAATACACGGACACCGTAAAATTATTTTCCAGTGTCATCCATTCATGCATTGCCATGTAATTAAAAGAAAATGACTTTTGCAATAATTACATTAAAAATCATATCTGGGTTATTTTTAATTGATCCACAATATAAAGATCCTTACACTTGCGCTCTATCAAAATCAAACTTCCCTCTACTATGTATCAACAAATTATTCTAAAAGTATGTCTACCACAACAAAAGCTAGTATTTTTAACGATGTGCCGATCAAATGTAAACTCAAAAAGGAAAAAACAACAAATGGGTAATAGAATTTCCTTCCAAACGAAGAACTTACAAGACCAATCATGAGCAAGTTGTCGATGGTGCGATGGAAAAACGAAAGTGTTCCATCCTCTCTCTACTGCTGCAGTCATGACCTGCTTGTTGCTGGTCCATATCCAAACTCTCTTGGATGGTTTACCTGTCCCATCCAACAATGTCTGAGAAGAAGACATTGAGGAACAAGGGCTATTATGCTTATGCCGCAAAAGGATCTTCTCAGAATGAAGAGAATTAAGGTTTGTTCCACGGATGTTGCGACTCGAGAGGGTGTATAACGAAGACAATCGAAGGGAAGAAGCCGAGAGAGATGAAGGAGGTGAAGTGAAGTGTGAGATGCAAATGTGTGACGACAGTGCCATCCTATGTTGCTGTTCTTTCTCTGCAACAGCAACCAGTGACTGTGTCAGCAACAACCTCAGCGAAATTTTTATTTTATTTTTTTTTTCTATTTTCTTTTCGGTTCCAGCACCTCATCCTCTTTGAGTCACGTGACATTATTGTTTTTTTGTACTGGATCACGTGACATTGGCCCAACTAGAACCTGGATTGGATAGTGGGTACCATACTTAGGTGCTGACACATTGACATCCATTAGGAAGGGTCATAAAAACAACCTACATGACATAATATTTTATTTTAAAATTGAATTATTTACTAAATTTTAATTCTACAGCAACATTTTCTTATTTATATTTATTAAAATATTATTATATATTAAATAAATAAATTATTTTATAATATTTTTCTAAAAAATATTATTAAAGATAGAATAACATTTTTAATATTATTTTTTTTAATTATTTTCAAAATTAAAGTTAACATAGATTATTTTGTAACATTTTTTTTGAAAAATATTATTATAATTACTTCTAAAATCAAAGTTCCACATCGAGTAAAAAAAATATATTTCTCTTATCTCTAATTGTTACCCATAATTAAAGTCACACATCGAATAGATTAATAAATTATAAAGAGTATATATAACCATATAGTTATAGTTAAGATAAATGAAATTTGATATTTTATATATAATTAGTGGTAACTAATTAATAATGTCTTTAATCTTCTCTCAAAAAACTCCTACGAATTTAAGAGGCATAAAAATATAATAATTGATAGTAATATATCTAAATTAAAATTAATTATCATTTTATAAAATTAACAAAATATTGACAGCATCATTAAAATGTTACAAAAATATTATTTTTCTAATATTTGAAAAATGTTGTCTAATTATATAAAAATGTTATTAAAAATCTTTAACAACATAAACTATATACAATATTTGACAATATATTGCTAAAACAAATTAGTAACATTTATATATAATTAAGTAACATTTTTTAAATATTGTTAAAAATTATTTGTGTTGTAGTGAGTTAAAGGTTTTGTAAATTGGTAATGTTGTTTGGGTATCGGTACCAATAAAAAGATGATTGTTGGTATAGGACACCAAAATGAGTTTTTGGAATTTCTGTTAATAATGTACCAAAATCATTAGAAGAATGCCTATTAATTCATTGGGCATTGTATGAAATATTTGAAATACAGAAAAGAAATACTATCTAGAGGAGTTACAATGACAAGTAAAAAATATGGATATCAACTAATTGTTGGTATAATAATAATAATAATAATAATAAAAGAGAATTTAAGTGGTAGATTATACAATTGGTATATAGCTGTAATATAATTTTGGTTAAAATAATTTTTTAACCTTTATAATTTCATTTATTTTACTTTTTAATATTTATAATTTAAAATAGATAATTTCAACTTGTATATTTATATTTTTTAATCTTTTTTAGTTTTTATTGTTGATTTTTTATAGCGTTATTTTTATGTGGGTAATGTAGACCTATTAAACGGGAAAAAATTTTATTGTGGACATGCTAGTGGACAATTCAAAGAAGCAGAAAAGCATTATCACACCACCTACAAGGAAGCACTGGCTGTAAAGAATGGAATCAAGAAGTTTGATTTCCACCTGAGAGGATATCATTTTGAAGTTCAAATGGATAATTCCTCTTTTCCCAAAATTCTGGATTTCAAAAACAAATTGCCACCTGAACCTCATATCCTAAGACTGAAAGATTGGTTTTCCAGGTATGACTTCACTGTTAAACATATCAAAGGAAAACACAACCTCATTCCTGATTTCCTGTCGAGACCTCAAAACCCAGTCATAATCATATCATCCACCTATAACTTTCCATTAATTTTCATGGTGAAACCATTACCTGATACTGCAAAAACAAGAAAGCTATATCCTCCTGGTTTTAAACCTAACAGTCTTGAAGAAATTATCCAATTCGCTAAAGCTCATTATTTTTATTATCTTCACGAGACTTTAAAGTTTAAAATCATCCCTCCATCCATGTTTGATCCAACAGAAGACCATCCTGAAATTTTTGAATTATTCTGTGAAATTGGTTGGGATTTGTGTGAACCAACTCTCTGGGCCTTATGGTGTAAAACTGTCCAACATCTAATTGCAATTGCTCTGAGGACGCAATCAGCTTACAATATTATGATAAATCCAGACAAGGCAGAATTTTTATTCTGGACTCTATTAGAATGGTTTTCACCTCTCCCATGGTGGAGAAGTGAGTTAAAAAAGGTTATTGATTTTCAAAAGAATCAAATGGGGAAAAGCAAAAAACAATGTGAGTCTTTGACTTCCATAGCCATCATTAGTCCCCCTTATTTCCAGAAACCAACAGGACAACTGTGGTCTAAGAATGAAGCTTATTTCTGGGGAACCTTTGAGACATATCCACCAGATCAGAGTTACAGGACACAGTTGATCAACCATCTCAAGGAAGAAAAAATCCAACAAAAGAGCCAAGGAGAAGCCAGCTCATCACAAAGTCGGTTCATTCCTACCCAGTCAAGCCATCAGGGTATCAATACTTTCATGAGCAGAACTGAGTATTACGTGTCTGATGAACAATTCCAGACAGTTAATGATCTAGGAGAAAACAACGAAGATGATTACTATGCTGAATTGATGATAGACAACTGTTCCAATTCAGATGCATAAGATCTGAATCTCTCTCCTAGCCACGAGCCCATTATCAAAAGGGGATAATAATGAGAATCTACTTTTCGTACTATCTACCCTCATGTCTGCCATCAGTGTGTAATAAGTGTGTATATGAGTTTGTATGACAGTTTGTATTTTATATGAGTCATGACCATGTAGGTCTTCTGTTTGTACCCGTTCTTATCGTCTGAGTCATAATAGTTTGTCTAGTTGTATGAGTCACACCCCACGAGGGTCCTTTACTGTATTTAGCTTTTAGTGAGCCAATCAGAATTGGCCCATGTGTAAAATGCTTGTGGTTTGTAAGCCTCATGAGATCCCCTCCGAGTCTATATAAGGAGGCTCCCTTTTAGTTTGTAAGCAAGTCGAGTTTACAATAAAATTCTCTTGTGTGTTTATTACTCATGGATTGCTAAACCTCTCTTCCTCTCTTTCGAAAACTTTTGATCCTATTAAAGTATTATGCTCTCAGTGGTACATGTTTGAGCAAGTATGCTCTGTACTCGCCTCTTTAAGAGGATCTTGTACAACAGAACGCTATGAACCATTGATCCAGTATTTTTCGATCCTTAGGATTTATGATTAATTTGTTAAATATAAGACAGAGGCTGAAAAGAGTAGGCGAAGGATGCCGAATAAGTAAGCAAGTTCTTATATTTTGATAAATAAGTCATATGTTTCTAAGTCAAAATTTACTTTCATAAGTTCTTATTCCACGTCGGTTATTTTGAGCTTTTTACGTCGAAAAAAATACCGATGTTAATGCGGGAGACGTAAATCTACGTCGGCATTGTAAAACTGATGTAAATTTACGTCGAACATTACCAAGGTCCGATGTAAAAAATTAGTAAAAAATAAAAATAAAAAATAATGAGTGCAAGCAGAACGGCCCGTTCTGCTTGCAGAATGGCCCGTTCTCCAAGCAGAACGGCTCGTTCTCCAAGCAGAACAGCCCGTTCCAGATGCAGAAGAAATGAGAGGGTGCAGAAGATTTAAAATAATAATATTCAAAAAAAATGAAGAAAAGAACAAGTAGTAGTGAAGATGGAAAGTAGACAGGGAAAAGGAAATGAAAAATACATAAAAAAGGGAACTTGCAATTAATTGTACATGGGAAAAGGAAACGTGATCGTTCTCACAAACGTAAACCCGAACGAAAGGCTCGCCGTCGTCGTGGAAGCCAAAGCCGCGACGCAAGCAAAAGGCAGAGTGGAGCTCCAAAAGGTGCAGGTCAAGCTTTCTCTTGTTGCCATCTACAATGTTGGTGTGTATGAAGAAAAAAGCATCAAGGTTTTTCGAAGGCTTCAAGCCTTGTTTCAGCGGAGAGCATGGATTCCCCTGGCACCTCTCTTCCACAGCTTAGCACGTTTAAAGAAGGTGCATGCACTTTAATATAGAAACCTTTTTTACGTCGGATATAATAAAGTCAGACGTAAAATGTAAAATTTACGTCGGACATTAGATACATCCAACGTAGATTTTACATTTTACGTCGGACCCTATTATGTTCGACGTAAAAAAGTTCACAAAAATTACAAAAATGCTACCGCGTCTTTTTTACGTCGATTTTTGTTTTGACCGACAAGAAAATAGTGACGTAAAAGACTATTTTTCTACTAGTGTTTAGAAGTTTTCCTCACCTAGGTCAAGAAGAAAACACAACCCAAGAGTACAAGAGGCCAAGAAAGAAAAACTAAAAAGGCACAATTAAGAAAAGGCTAAACTCAAATGGAATTTATGAGACAAACTTAAGAGTAGAAAGAAGACTCAAAAACTGAAATTAAGGCATATTAATAAAAATGCAAGCACACAAAAGAGTAATTCCTAGAATGGTACTAGAATAGAATGGCAAGTAGGTTTAAAAGAAAAATGATGCACTTAACATGTTTGATTTATTGTCTCATTCGGCCATTAAGTATTGTCCAATGGTCCAAGAATTAACTCCAAGTGCTATGGTATAAAAATTGGTCCAAAACTCCACAAGTCTAGCAAAGGGTTCCCTTTTTCTTATTTTTGGTTTCTTTGTTCTTTTTGGGCTTGTCCAAGTCTCGGTTTCAATGTTCCAAGTCCAGCCACTTTTCTCTTTTTTTTATTTATTTTTTTTTATACTATTCCTTTGCTTGGGTTTTACACTTGTTTTGGGTGGTTTTGTTAGCCACTTTTTGGAGTATTCTTTTAGCAACTTACACTAGCTCAATGAGACAAAATTTGAGTGTTTTTCTTAGGTTTTTAATAGCCCACGTCCAGCAGCAAAGATAGGCATATTGAAATCAATTTCACACTCAAATTATCAAACATCATGTAGGCATACAAGTTCACCAAGGAATACACAAAAAATTGGCCGAAAATTTGAAGTAAGTATGTGTAAAGGAATTAA